TTGTCTCATAAAGATAAACCAAAAAAATTGATATTTAGTGAAAAACTCTATTCTATAATACAAATTAAATTGATCCTCATTTCATAAAGAATCATATTAAATTGTTTAATGATCATCAATTATTACAATTCTTCAACTCTTTTAATGGCTTAAGCTTCATTTGGAACGACTTTTTTACGGCTTCTTAAAATAATTTTTTAGTACAAAAATAAAATATTTGTACTTGAAAACTGCTTTAAAAAGCAGTAAGAAAGTCATCCCAAACAAAGCCTAAGTTTGATGTGTATATGTATGCTAGGTGTATAGGCGCTCAAACTCAGCCATTCAGAACTCTCAAATTTACTTCTAATCAATGCGCTTTAAGTGCAACTTCTTAATAATTTCCCTTACAACTATGTTGCTCATCTAAATTAATTTCCACACAAATTTATTTAAATTATATATTATCGTACTAATCTATTTCGACCACTCTTCTACTATTATTGATCTATGAACACGTTCGGTGTTCGGACGTAATAATTGCTCCATGGAGAGAGAGAGAGAGAGAGAGAGAGAGAGAGAGAGAGAGAAACTAGTAGAGTAGGTTGTTATCTATAAAAATAAAATGAAAAACAGAGAGAGAGAGAGAGAGAGAGAGAGAGATGGCCACGGAGCTCCCTATAAAGCAATTTTTTTTTTAATCCGCCCATGGTAGGAAGTGAGCTGCAGTAGGCCACAACAATTATGGGTGAAGATAGTTGATTTTAAAATTACTCAAAACATCAGAAGTTTTTTTTTTAGTATTTTTAAAGATAGGTTGATTTATTTTTAAAGCAAAAAAATTAAATATGAAAAATACATTAAATTTAAAAGATAAAAGTACAATAAAAATAATCCCAAATATGCCTAAAGTTTTTGAGTTTTTGGCTTTTTAAGTGCAAATTTGTGGTGCAATTTTATTGAAGGCTTGCTATAAATTTTTCGCAGTATTGAAAACTAAATTCACTTCTATCTCGCCTTTTGGCTTCATTTGAGATATCTTTATTATTATTATTTTTAATAATTTTTTTAAACAAAAATTTTTAAAAGTAACAAAAAAATAGTGGTCAAAAGATATCACAAACGAGAAAAATTATTATGTGCGGAGACCGGATGCAGTGCACTGTCCAGAGACCAATCAGAATGTGTCACATCAGTAGTACTGAGCCGCGGTACGGAGCGGTAGAGAGTTGCAGTACCGAGCTGCGGTACTGAGCAGTACCGAGCCGCGATACCAAGCTGCAATACTGAGCGGTACCCTGCAAGGGTGACATTGCACATTTTGATTAGTCTCTAAATGACGTTTGACGTCCAAACAGAATAATTAATCTCCAAACGAAGCCTTAATCAATGTACATCTCTCTCCTTTCTTTTCACTACTTCTTTCACAGACACCTTTCAACCCTAAAAAGAGGAATGAAACACACACTTTATCTCACATACATAAAAATTTGTAGGGGTGTCAATTTTTGACACGACCCGAAAACCGATTCAAAACTGACCCGGAAAAATCCGGATTATGGTCAACCTAGACCCGAAACGGGTCGGGTTCGGGTTCAACAAATCAACCCATTTTAAAAATCGGGTCTGGTTCGGGTTGACCCAGCAACCAGAAATTGACACGAAAACTCTTATTTGACCCGAAAACTCGAGATTGACCCTTTTTTACCTGAAAATTGAAGATTGACCCGATTTTTGACCCGAAAACTAGCAATTTTAGGTCAACTTCAGGTCATTCGTGTCGGGTCGGGTTAACCCGGACCAGAATCGGGTCGGGTTCGGGTCCGGAAACCTGACCCGTTTTTTAGAACGGGTCGAGTTCGGGATGACCCGAATAGTGCCGGGTCGGTTCCGGATTCGACCGAACCCGACCCGTTGACCCGAATTGACACCCCTAAAAATTTGTATCAATAACTTCATAAGTCAGCTTGTTTGGTTGAAGGTTTGTGCAGAGTCAATGTGGAGTAATCAGCCCCATATATATTGCGAGGACCACCCTGTGAACTTGATGGAAGAATGGGAATCAACAAGTGGACGGACTAAGCTTTCTTAAGACCATTTCAGGCTTTCAGCTCAATCTTTTGGACCACCTCACCCATTTCCAACCATGAGTAATCACTATCAATTTATAAATTGGCAACGATACTTGTTTTATATAGCAAGTGATAAACCATAAAGTTTGTGATTTGGACGTTCGGCTCATTTGCGATGGTTTTCTTACTGCTTCTTGAAGTAATTTTTTAGTACAAAAATTTTAGATTTTGTACTAAAAAATATGTTTTAAGAAGCAATAAGAAAGTAGTCCCAAACAAAGAAAATTCTTTGTTTGGGATAATTTTTTTACTGCATTTTAAAGTAATTTTCTAATATAATTTTTTTTTTTTTAACTATAAATTTTGGTATTAGAAAACAGTAAGAAAACTATCTCAAACGAAGCCTTAAAGTCATAACCTTAGATAAATATAAGGCTCAAAGGTGATGACCCTAAACCCTTAATAAAATTTAGATAGATGTTATTTTTGTTAATTAAAATTTAAATATTTAAATTAAATTTATTTTGATATATGCATGTAAATTTTAACTTGAATCTATTTTGATGTATGCATATGATTTTTTTTTTTA